ATGTGAGGGGACAACAGGGAATTAACTTTTACACTGGAAAAAGTGTTATTATGGATTATGGCCAGAAGTGATGTTTAAAATTAAAATGCCTTAGTGATGGATTTGTTTCTTACAAACATGCAGCTTTTTACTTCACAAAACATTAATTAATGAACTGGAGTCGTGTAGGTTACTTGTGGATTATTCTGATGTTTTTATCAGCAGTTTGGACTCTCATTCTGACGGCACACATTCACTGCAGGGGATCTATTGATGAGCAAGTGATGTAATGCTAAATTTCTCCAAATCTGTTCTGATAAAGAAACAAACTGGGGCCAGTTGCATAAACTTAGCCACCATCTTAAGACTGTGTCTTAAGAACTCGTTTGACCAACTAGCAGTTGCCAAAGGGTAATAAGACCAATCTACCTTTTCATAACTGAATTTAAAAAGCTATGACCAGTCTTGAAGAAAAACAATTAGTTGACTAACCTTTTAAGACTAGTCTAAACCGTTTATGCAACCAGCCCCTGATCTACATCTTGGATGGCCGGAGGGTGAGTACATTTTCAGCAAATTTTCATTTTTGGGTGAACTATTCCTTTAAGTGTGAACACACAAACACTCCTCCACAGTAAAACATCTGTCCGCACACATAAATATAGCCTTCTCTATTATCTTCTAAAATGCATTTGTATGCAAACACCAGCCACTGACTGGCATCTGTCTTCGCTTGCTCGTCTCTCTCCTTCGCTCCACCTTCTTTCTCTTCCTCTCTCGCTCTCCATCTTTCTTTCCCTCTGTGCTTTCTTCCTTATCCCTGTCCTCCTCTCACATGCACACACATACTTCATAATTCACAAGCATGTCCATTTCCTCAGCAGCTACACACTTCTCCGGATAGGCTCATGCCGTTGACTGCTGTCCATCACAAAAATCAAAGTCAGCACACATACAGAGTGGACACTAGTAAATCTAAATCTAACACTAAATCCTCTTCGCTGAACAAGAATCAGATATAATTCCCAAAACACAGCATTTTAGGCAGAACGAAAGAACGATGGACACGTAGAAACAAGCACCTGCCTGATGAGACTCAAAGAACGTGTGTGATAGTGCACTTTAACCCCAGTTGAACAACACTATAATAAGATCCTGGTTGAGCATTTCCCTCTACTGGACCACAAGAATGAGAGAGGGGGTGCCAGTTATGTAATCTGGACATGACTGCCGCTGTTCATATAAGAAAGGCAGGGATGGAGGGAATAAGGCAGAGAGAGAGAGAAAGACACGTGCCCTGTACTGCCAGCAGAGCACTAAGCATCACCAGAATCCAGTTATTACAGCACGGTCTAAAAAAATGAGGGCCCTTTAATTATATTATTAGTATACTTTAAAGTCATATCTACCTAATGAAGCCTTTAATGCTGAAGTGGTTCTTTGTGTTCAGGAACAAAGATCTCGTTCTGCTATTGTTGCGATTAATCTGATGGTATATAGAAAAAAAATTCTTACACGCCATCTGCTTCACGTAACCCGAACAAGTCATAGATTCACAACATACTGCAGGTAACTGAACAAAAAACATCTGAAGCATCACAGTGTGTGTGACCTAATATTCAAATCAGTCATCCTACCTCCTTCATTCACTAATTACTAAAGCAAACAAAGAGGTCTGTAATAGAGTGCAACAGTGCCCGCCCACGTGTTGCGGAAATATATATATTTTTTCATATTCATTTGTCCATAAGAATTTTAAAAATGTCTTTAGCTAAAGTTATAAGCTGTGGGGTCGCAAGCATGACAAGCTTTGTGGCCATGATTTAACTAAATTAAAAAGAGGGAATGAATTAGTACAGTGTGGCATAATGTAACTAAAACGAGGGAACTAATTAACAAAACGTAGCTACAGATTATTAAATCACAGGAACAAATTATTTATGTGTGGATTTGATATTCATTTGTTCCTTCACATGTGGTGTGCGGGGCTCTGTAATGAGCCATGAGGCTCACAAGGTGAATCACAACATCACAAACTTTGATTTGAAGGGGAAAAAAGTATTTGGAAATTAGACAAAAAGACAAAGTAATAAGACTGGTGCTGTCAAATCGATTAATTGTGATTAATCGCATCCAAATTAAAAGTTTGTGTTTACATCATATATGTGTGTGTACTGTATTTTTATATGTATATATAAATACACACACATACAGGTATTTAAGAAATATTTACATGTTGTACACATTACATATTCATATTTCTATGTGATTTACATTATATATAAATATGTATTACATATATTTCTTAAATATATACATGTATGCATGTGTGTATTTATATACACATATAAATATACACAGTACACACACACATAGTATGTAAACACAAACCTTTATTTTGGATGCGATTAATCGCAATTAATCGATTTTACAGCCCTACTTGTAGCTCACAGTAAGTCTGTCTTAAAGGGGCACAAAATAATGATCTTTAAAAAACCATCATATGACCCCTTTAAAAGGTTTATAAATTATCATTCATAAAATAAAATATTGTTCATAAATTATCATATTTCATCTTAAAAAATGGCCTGTATAGCCTGTATCTGCAATGCTCAAATCATATGCACCGGACTCATTTTCACTGATGATATGACTGACAAACAAAAAAGGTGGGGGTTAGTAGGCAGATGCTGTGAGAGTTGAGACTCAAGCTGTGTGTGAAAGGTGTTATATTCTTCTTAATATTCTATGAGCTCTGAGAGAACACATTTCACGTAATTGAGACTGTTTATATGGCGTAAAGTGCTTTACCACAGAACAGCACTACCAAATTAATCTTTCTATAACAAACTAAATCATAACAACAGCAGAAGTTCAACAGCATCCCTAACAGTATACACATGTTGTGTGATAATAGGCTTATACTACTACAAATGCTCAAAGTTTGCATGTAGGTTACAGGTCCATTTTCCACATAGACAAGCTCCAAGAAGTGAAAACTTTCTGAGAATGCAATACTTTATCATCATTGCACCCCTGAGTGAGACATCTAATACCATATTGCATCATTGTTCTAGGAATTAATGTACTATGTCAATTTGTACAGGACAAAATGCCTGCTTAATGGGAATAAAGTTAAAGACTAGTACACTAGGGCTGTCAAAAAAAAATTCGAATTTTGAATATTCGTTGAGTTTAAAAAAAAAATCCACATTCGAATGCAAAAACGTTGCATTCGAATTTAAGGTCTGCGTCAGCCGTCAGGAAGCCTATCAGTGGCACACGAGATGCGATGACGATGTATGTGTCACTAGATGTGGCGCTTCTACGTTGTTCATTCATATATTGTGGAAAACGAGAGCATCAGTGTGGAGAAGATGTTGTTTACGTCAAAACTGAAACCAAGCCGTTCACACAGAATGCATATTTATCACATTTTCTAGAGGGACATCTGTCAGCGTTGCACTCACGTCTTGCAGAGAGCGGCATGTTTAGAAAGACATGTAAAATTAATGCAAGTTCAACTTTTAAAAAACATGTCTAAAGACGTTATGGCGTTTTTTCCCCATCCCACTGTATCTCATGTTTTTAAATGAAGAAAGTAGCCTACTCTTTGTGATTGGTCATGTAAAATTAATGCAAGTTCAACTTTTAAAAAAACTTGCCTCAAGACTTTATGGCGGTTTTTCCCTATCTCACTGTATCTCGTGTTTTTAAATGAAGAAAGTAGCCTACTCTTTGTGATTGGTTTTCGGTCCTTTGTATTAAACTATACATACATGCATGATGCTGTTTTTTTTCTAATTGTTTAAGCAACTTTATTAATTATATATGGTTTATAAACATTATTTTAAACATTATGCACTTTTTTATTAACATTATGTTATTTTATTACGCTTTGAAGAAACGTGCATAATATTTTGCTCGATGCGCCCTCTTGTGGCCTCAGGAGAGAAGCCAAAAGCGTTTTTCCCCCTAACTGAAATTATGCCTTTTAAATTTGAATATAATTCGAATTTTGATCATATTTAAGAAGAAAATTCGAATTTAGTTTTTCAGTCATTTTGACAGCCCTACAGTACACTATGTACAATAATTTCATTATATCATGTCCTTATTTTAATCTATACCTTCCACATAATATGATGTAACAGATGAGGTCTTGTCACATCACACTACAGGGAGATATATTACACCAGAGGTACACCATGTCATTATAGAATGTATTAATAATTAAAAAGCACATAGGTGATTGTATGCGTTTGAAATGGCAATGTTTTGGTGACAAGACCAAATAAAGCATCTGCTAATAACTATTAAACTGATTATGCTTGGAGTGAATTCAGGTTAACAGTTGATCCACCAACAGTTGATCTCCTATCCACCAAGAGACAGATATTCACTGTCAAAACAGATCTGACATCAATTGATATGATGCTAACAATTAAATCCCTTTACTTAAAATCTCATAGTTACTGAGATACAATCTCGGTGACAACAAGCCCTGACCTCACCTATCACTTTTAGGGTTGTTTAAAATAAAAGAACACGTTAAAATATTACTAAAACACAGAATTATAACTGATTATGACAGCGAGATCTAGAAGGAGATTAAAGAACTCACAAGTGATGAGAAAAAGAGGACTATCTCTTTAATAGTACAAGCTACTGTGAGAAACATTCAGCAGTGCTGCAATCTAAAATGGCTATGGACAAAAGTACCCCACACAGCCATGTGTTTAACTGGCAGAAAGACACTGAATAATGTTTTCAGCCCATTTAATACGGCACAGCGGACTACTATATGTATTTATAAGGTTATAGTGCAGACGACCGCACGAGCCATAATGACATTTACAGCCAAAGCAGCAACGTAAACATCTACCCGACTAAACAACCGTATTGTAACGCATTTAAAAGACATTTCTGACCAAAACCTCCAATACATTCCTTATCAACACAACATGCTCTCAGATCAGCTGAGCGCGTGAACCAAATCAAGCGATGGACAGCGACTCTACCTCTTCCTCCGCTCTTCCGTTAAAAGATGATTCCCGTAAAGACAGCCGCGTCCAACTGTGTCATATTAAGGGGCGGCTGACGGCTCCGGTCCGCTGTCCGTGCTATCCGGGCTTAAAACGGTTCATTAGCGACCGTCGGGAAGAGAAAAGCGCTGGAGCGGGCGGTACTGAGGAGACCGCACAGGCGCGCGCTCACCCACTCTCTCTCTCTCTCTCA